TGCTGGTCGCAGTCGGGGCGCTGCTGGTCGCAGTCGTGGCGCTGTTGGTCACAGTCGTGGGGCTGCTGGTCGCCGTCGTGTTGGTGCTGGTGGCGCTGCTGGTCGTGGTGGTGCTGCTGGTCTCTGTGGTGCTGCTGCTGGTCGCAGTCGTGGTGGTGCTGGTCGTAGTGGCGGTGGTGCTGCTGGTCGCAGTCGTGGTAGTGGTAGTGCTGGTTGTGCTGGTGATGCTGGTCGTGGCGGTGCTGCTGGTCGCAGTCTCGGTACTGCTGCTCCTGGTTGCAGTCGTGGTGCTGCTGGTCGCTGTCGTGGTGCTGCTGGTCGTGGTCGTGGTCGTGGTGGCGCTGCGGGTCGCAGTCGTGGTGGTGGTGCTGCTTGTCGCAGTCGTGGTGGTGCTGCTGCTGGTCGCAGTCGTGGTGCTGCTGGTCGCAGTCGTGGCGCTGTTGGTCGCGGTCGTGGGGCTGCTGGTCGCCGTCGTGGTGGTGCTGGTGATGCTGCTGGTCGTGGTGGTGGTGCTGCTGGTCGTTGTGGCGCTGCTGCTGGTTGCTGTCGTAGTGGTGCTGGTCGTAGTCGTGGTGGTGCTGCTGGTCGCAGTCGTAGTGGTGCTGCTTGTGCTAGTGGTGCTGGTGGTGCTGCTGGTCGTGGTGGTGGTGGTGCTGCTGGTCGTAGTCGTGGTGCTGCTGCTGGTCGCAGGCGTCGTGCTGCTGGTCGCAGCCGTGGTGCTCCTGGTCGTGGTCGTGGTGGTGCTGCGGGTCGCTGTCGTGGTGGTGGTGCTGCTGGTCGCAGTCGTGGCGCTGCTGGTCGCGGTCGTGGGGCTGCTGGTCGCCGTCGTGGTGGTGCTGGTGGTGCTACTGGTCGTGGTGGTGCTGCTGCTGGTCGTTGTGGTGCTGCTGCTGGTTGCAGTCGTTGTGGTGCTGGTCGTAGTCGTGGTGGTGCTGCTGGTCGCAGTCGTGGTGGTGCTGCTTGTGCTAGTGGTGCTGATGGTGCTGCTGGTCGTGGTGGTCGTGGTGCTGCTGGTCGTGGTCGTGGTCGTGGTGGTGCTTCGGGTCGCTGTCGTGGTGGTGGTGCTGCTGGTCGCAGTCGTGGTGGTGCTGCTGCTGGTCGCAGTCGTGGTGCTGCTGGTCGCAGTCGTGGTGCTGCTGGTCGCAGTCGTGGGGCTGCTGGTCGCCGTCGTAGTGGTGCTGGTGGTGCTGCTGGTCGTGGTGGTGGTGCTGCTGGTCGTTGTGGTGCTGCTGCTGGTTGCAGTCGTGGCGGTGCTGGTCGTAGTCGTGGTTGTGCTGCTGGTCGCAGTCGTGGTGGTGCTGCTTGTGCTGGTGGTGCTGGTGGTGCTGCTGGTCGTGGTGGTGGTGGTGCTGCTCGTGGTGGTGCTGCTGCTTCTGGTCGCAGTCGTCGTGCTGCTGGTAGCAGTTTTGGTGCTGGTCGTTGTCGTGGTGGTGCTGGTCGTAGTGGTGGTGGTGCTGCTGGTCGCAGTCGTGGTAGTTCCCCACATGCTTCGTGGGGTTCTGGTTTTCTTCCCTGCCGCGCCGCGCCCGCGTCTCCCCCACACCCGCCCTCCTCCCCTCCTCCTCCTCCTCCTCCTGCTCCTCCTGCTCCTCCTCAACCTCCACCTCCACCTCCTGCGCCTCATCCTGCTTCTCCTCCTCCTC